CCTGATTTTAGCTGATAAAGGCAATTACAAATGTATGTCTGGTTTTCCTCTTTCCACACAACATTAAACTTGAATTACAAAATCATAATATTACAGACTAAGTGAGACATGACCACTTGGCTTGATGCAAAAGACATTTTTTCTTTTGAAGGAATTTAGGTATTCAGAGTAACTTGCGTAATTCTTTTGAGTCACTTGTAGATAAGATGACCAGAGAAAGCCTGTTTACCTAAATGGCATTGGAGAAAGACTTGAATGAAGCAAATAAATAAGAGATGAGAATATCTGAAGGAAGAGTATTCTAGAAAGTTAGAAAAGGAAGTACCAAGACACTAAGATAAGATTATGAATGGAAAATTTTTCGTAGATCACTTAGATTACTTGCTTGAATGAAGTTCATATACCCACTTTCATAGTGGAGCTATTTCAGATCCCAATCTAGGGCAAAGCTCTGCTCTAAATGACCTTTAAGTATCCACAGATGACCCCATGACAAAAGCAACCATCTTTGAGGTACCTGACTTAAAGTAGGGGCAGAAAATATGAAGAGACAACAGTGAGATAATAGAGCCAGAGGACTCCAATTCATGCACTAGGTGCTTAATTAAAATGTACTTATCTCTTTAACAACAGGATGAAGCATCTCTAATTCACCTCTTCAAGCGCTAACCATATCAATATTTTATTGGGTCTTGTTGCTTTTTGAAGACGATTCTTCCTTCACTTAAGCATTATAGTTGCGTTGAGCAAAGAGTTGAACTATATCACCTAGCTCACTATTAGTAGCTTAAAGTTCAATAAATACTTCACACTATGTACCGCTTTACATATTTTTATTCCAAATGAAATAAATGTACCATCCTTTTAAATTAACTTACGTATAAGTTTTTATAAAAAATCAAAATGATGAGGTATATGTATATACAATGGGATACTACTCAGCCATAAAAAGGAATGAATTGATGGTACTCGTAGCAACCTGGATGGGATTGGAGACTATAGTGAAGTAACTCAGGAATGGAAAACCATGCATTGTATGTTCTCATAAATGGGAGCTAAGCTAAGAGGATGCAAAGGCATACGAGTGTCACAGTAGACTTTGGGGACTCAAGGAGAAAGGGTGGAAAGGGGACGAGACATAAAAGACTGTAAATTGAGTTCTGTGTATATTGCTTGGGTGACGGGTGCACCAAAATCTCACAAATCACCACTAAAGAAATTATTCATGTAACCAAATACCACCTGTTCCCTAAAAACCTATGAAAACAAACAAAAAACATTTAGGTGCTTCAGAAAAAATGGTTTAATAAAATAAAATGAAGAGGTATAATTTTTCACAATGACGGGAAATTAAAGGTGATATTTAGTAGAGGCTTAGGCAAGCATAGGCAATTTTCTTTTTTGGAGAGAGAGGAAAGAGTATAGATTTTATTAGAAATGTTTATATTTAAGCAATTACGTGAAAAACTCATAATCAGCAGAAGATTAACATTACAAAAAATCTTCCAAATAAGAAACAAAGGGGTCAGAGGCTGGAGAATGAAGAAATCTTTATGTAAATAGGAGACAGGAAAGAAGACAAAGAAAAGCAAACAAAATAGATAATAAAAATATTTGGTTGTATATAGTTTGTTATGTTAAAAAATAAAGAACTGTGAAAGAAAAGCTTATTGAATATTTTTTTCAAGATGGAGTCAAAATTTGTATCTAATCACTTTGCTTCTCTTGAAATGGTCAGTGGATCCTTGCTGGTTCCACTTAAAATAAAGTCAGAGGTATTTTCATTTCTCTGGAGTGTACATATCCCAATCTGAACATTATTGTTTTCTATTCTGTCTTCCTCATTTCATATAAGAGATTACTCCATAGATCAATAAACAACTCATGTCATATAGGTCTCTGAACAATTGGTCCACAGTAATTGTACTGTATTCTGACTATACCAAACTAAATTTCCTCTCAGGAAAGGAAGGAAGAAATGCCTTGTTATAGTCTCTTTCATCTAAACCTCTCTTCTACCCTGGAGAAGGCCAATATGCTCAATAGATATCATTAAGGTTGATTTTTTTTCTTAAAAATTCTACTGACTTTCATTTTTGACCAATCTTCTGTTTGCATAATTTTAAGGATATGTATAAGTTAAGTGTTACAGTAAATATTACTTCAAAAAATTAGAAGATAGAAAAAAAAATCACAATTTTCATGAATTTGGCACGGGAAGGGGAGTCCTTCGGAGTAATTCAAAGATGGCTCACTAAAGCCCAAAGTGCCTAAGGACATACAACTACTTACTGATGGACGTGAAACCAGAACTCAGGTCTTATAGAATGTATCAAAATTGTTCACACCTTTTAAAAGTCTACCTATGTAATATTAGAGTCATCAGTTGAAAAGTAGAAAGAGTGGTTGGATCAGCTAGTACTTTTGTCTGCACCTTATGTAAGCAACGTGGCTTAAAGTTACAATGCTATCTGTGTTACAAATGTCTTCTGTGAAGTCTGGTTGTCTCCTCCACACAGAAGATGTTGGGTAAAATTTATAGCTTCCCATCTCCCATTCTGGCACTAAAGATGGAGATGTACATTCCATATCTTTAAAATTTTATGTAAGAAACTCGTATGGCATAAACCTAAAGCAAAATTCAGAGATTTCAATAATAGTTCATCTGTTCATTAACCTCAACCATGTGCAAAATTTCAGACTTCCCAGATTTGTTACTTCCATTAGAATTGTAAGATGGTAGAAATGAAAGATATCATAGAAAAAATCTACTTGATTAATACATGAAGAAACAGAGGCCTAGAGAAGTGAAGCGATTACCTGAAGTGTCACTTCGAATGGTCCATACCAGGTCATCGACTATAATTCACATATTTTCATTCCCACTCCAGAGACCTTTTACCATTTTGGAGAGTAAGGGGTATAAGATGGGAGAGCTGTTCAGATTTTTGTTCTTCCACTGATCTATTTTTAGTTCTGATGTTTATAAGCTAGTCTTTCTGAAGACAAAACACTAAGCAAGAAGGCTTATGGTAAGAAAAAAAAAAAAAAAACATTTATTTATTCATTGAATAAGTAGCATGCACTGCTCCAAATAGTAGAGATGTAAATCCCCTCACTTTAAATGGAACTTACATTTTAGTGGGGGTGAGGGAGGTGCTGGTAGTGAAGGTGTTGGAGACACATAGTCTAAAGAAAATAAATTGATAAGCCAAATAAGTTCACACAGTGATACATTCTAAAAAGGAAATGAAACAGAATGAAAAGGAAGAGGTGACTACTTTATATTAAAGGGCTTTCTGAGGCATTAACCCTTGCACTAGAAGCTGAATGATAACAAGGAGTCGGCCATGTGAAGCCTAGGAAAGACCATTCTAGACAGTGGTGGCAAAGGACTAGAGGCCAGAACAAGACTGGCAAAATAAACCAGGAGAGGAAAGATTAGTGGGGCTAGAGTATGGTGACTAAAGGAGACAATGGGGAGAGATGAGGTCAGGGGTATGCAGAAGCCTTATCATTCCTATGACAGGAGGTTTGAATTTTATCCTTAGTATAAAGAAATACATTTGAAGCTTTTACACAGAGAAACATCATTCTTCAATTGATTCTTTTATAATATCACCACGACTGCATATGTGAAGAAGAGATTACAGTGATGGCTCTGTAATTTGGTCTATATTTTATGACATGTGACAGAGAGTAAAACAAACTAATCAGATAAAACAAGGCCAAAATAACTGGAACTATTCAAATGTTATGTCGTCAAACCAACTGCAGTAAGAAAACCACAAAAAAAGCTGGTTGAAATCTGGAATTCTGTACATCTGGCTGATAAAAGGAGGACGTTGATATCCAGTGACACTCAGAAGAGTTTTAGAATCCAGCAACTTTGAAGATGGTCATTAAAACTCATGGTACAAAATACATGGTCAAAATCAGTCCATTTTGCAAAAGTCACTGTAGTGAATTTTAATGAGTACATTAATGCATTATATTCTCAATCGATCTTATTTTCACATTCCCCTCTTATGACGCTGATCACTTATTGTACATTTTCATAATCTGTCCTTCAGGGAATAAAGATGCTCCATAAGCCATTTGCCTCATTCTCTGGGAAACAAAACACTTACCTGTTGAAGTGTGCTTATAAAGTATAGACCTTACCCTTATGTAGGAAAAGACTCAAATGGTAAATTGCATCATTTGTCAGTATTTGTTAGTATTTTACATATGCCACCTGGTTGATGTTAACAGAATCATATGATAGGTGCTATTTTTGCCGTGTTCCAGATAAGAAAGGAGACGCTTAAAATATTGGACAAACTGTCCAGGTTCACACAGCCTCAAAATAGCAGAGGTGATATTTTTAACCCAGGAAAATATGACCCCAAAGACCAAGAGTTTCTGTAGCAGTCCAGAAAGAATTCTTCATGCTGTAAAATAAGTTCAGGTAGGAGAGTTTAGGCTGACCTTCCAGTAGATCTTGTGGGACCTGGAGTGTATTCCAATTTTTAGACATAATCACCTTCTCCTCACCAACAGGAATATTGTCACACATTTTATAACCTGAGTTAGAATTAACTGAACACAGTGGTAATCCAGGAAGTTAGGACTAATGTAGCATTATAATTGCTTAGGAAAGTATGACTAGTGTGGCATTATGAGAGCATTAAAGTCGTCTTTTATAAAACAACTTTTTAAAAGGCTGTATTTCACATAAAAATCTTCCTCCAGTCCCATTACACTTCAATGATGCAAATTGTTTTCCTTTTTGTGGTAATTTAATGCTCCCCTGAACTGACTCCCTTGATTTCAGAAGCTGGCCTCGAAACAGTCATGCTCACTGATACAGACTTGGCACAAAGAGAAATTCATTTTCTGCTTGACTTTGTAAGTGAAATTACACTCTGACAGCACTCCTTTCCACTGCCACTGAAAGGTATTAATGAAACATGGCACCAGAAATTTATTTGCAAGGTTGTCTTCTAGTTTACCCTTAGGTCTAAAAATGCCTTTTTAGATCTATGTGACAAGAGAGGAGGGCGAAGGAAGAAAACTCTTGGCATGGCTGGAAAATCACACAAGTCGTTTGGTCTCCAGATTGAAAAGAAGTCAACGTTTCACAGGGGTCTTAGTAAAAGACAGCTGTGCACAGATAAAAAATATATAGGTTTATATTTCACGCTTGAGTCCCAAGCCTCTCAGGTCAGAAATCACTAGACAACTAATTATCCTTCGGAAAGGAAAATTATCTATATAATGAAACTCACCGTTCAGAGTGTAGTTTCAGAAGCAAGATGTTTAACATTGAGGTGAAGTTCCTCAGAGTATTTCTGTATTGACTGATTCCTTGTTCTTGTCTCCATGCTCAAAAAACCGAGCCATCCTAAGTGATAGAAAGGAGAGAGAGAATATTTCCATAGCAGCCCACTCAGATGGCTCTGACCTGAGGACAATTCACTGAAGAGTCTTCCAGCATTCTGTCTACACTCTTGCCAGTTCACCATGATTTACTTTCTAGAATGATTGCCAGTCCTCCTTACTATAGACTGTGTGTGCTAAGAGTTTATGACCCATTTATTTTTTTCTCCACGACTTAGCAGAGGACCTAACATGTAATTGACTCAATATTTTTGATGAATACATGAAAACAGAAAAAGAACAAATCGATTGATTGATACATAAATAGATAGATGGATACATGAAATTTGATTCTGATTCTGGGGAGACAGGCAGGGCTCTGGCACAAATCCTCAACAGACTTCTGTCCTCAGTGAATAAATCTAATGTTAGAATCTGCAGGATTAAAAGTGACATCTATTGGTCAGGGGCAGTGCGATAAAGAAAGCAAGAGCCCCGAGGACCTTTTTTTTTTTTTTTTTTTTTAACCAACTTCTCATATACTATGGTATTTTTCTCTATGATCTAAACTTCACATGCCTTTTGCTGAAGTTAAAAAGATGAGGATATCCTAGGTACATATCAGCATCTCTCAGTATGGAATTGGAAGAGAGTTTGATGGAGTTGATAAGTTTGCCCTAGTTTTCTGAAACACTTCCTGATGTGGAGAGAAGTAGATAAAGATTACCAAGTTCCTCCCTTATACTTCTGTATAAACTAGCTCTGTGCTAGCTTAAAAAGACAGCCAAGCACTGGTAAATTACTGCAAGATGCCATGGGGGAAGAAACAGCAATTTTTTTTCTGTCTCAAGAGCCCAATCTTAGTTCTCACTGCCTAGAGATCATTATTATTAATAATGTCAGGCCATGGGCTAAATGAGACTGGCATGCATTAGCATATTTAATGCTCATGACATCCCACTGAGATACAGGGCTAGTCACATTTTATACAAATTGGAATCACACAAACTTTAATTACGCAAATATGAAATAGTTTAATATAAAAATATCAACACATTCCCACTTTATTTACAAAATTTCAAATATAGTAAATATCTTCCAATTTAAAATATTATGAAGAATTGCCTAATTTAAAAGACAAGCCTAGAGAATTTTAAATGACATTTATGCTTTGGTCATGTGAGGATGTGGTACTTTTGCAGGAAAATAAAAATTGTTACAATAAAATCTAATACTTATCGAACATTAAGCACTTCATAGATATCAGGCTATTTATTTTTCACAAAAAAAGAAGATTCCACGAAGCAACACTCTTATCCCTCTTTTGCAGAGAAGGAAAAGGTGATGTGCAAGCTCTGAGTAGCAGAGGTAGAATTTAAACTCTTGCAGCCTGGCTCCAGACCCAATCAAATCAATGCCTGGCCTTACTTTTTAGGATTAATTTTGACTTATATGCATTTTTAATTGAATAAAACCTTTAGGAATCCTTCCTTCACATCAAATATGCCTGCTTTGTAGGTACTATTCTCGCTTTTGAAATTGAAGCTTTAAAGTAGTTAAGTAACTTGTCCAAGGCCTCAAAGATAATAGAAGCCAAACTCACCTAACAGAGACAAAAGCAATTATTTCTAGATAAGTTCATAGACATGCCTGAGAGATCAATCAGAGCTTGAGTCCTCCAGTTCTGTGCCTTTGTTGACTCTCTGCTATTTGCATAATGTTAGTAAGCTTGGCCCACAAAAACCCTCATATTCAATCCCATCGTCTGTTTTCCTCCCCAGGATTCCTACTCTTCTCCTAAGGAAATTACACATGTCCCAAATGTCTAAATACACTGCCTTATTCTTCCAATTAAAGTTCAAACAAAAGAACCTCTCAGCACGTCCTCAAGTATCCCACACTCCTAACAATGTCTGCTCTGTAACTGCAACACCATCTTGTCAAACAGCAACTGGAATCAACAAATGCTTGACCCAGGCCAAATACCAGGAGAAGTGGAGACAGTTCACCACTCATAACCCCATTACACATTCTTGTTATCAAATTCAGATAGATTCTTGCAGTACATGTTCTGCCCAGTGGTAAATACAAGATACATTCTTTCCAGGTGGGCATCAGAATCAACAAAAACTGTTGAAACTCATGGAAGCTGAAAATTAAGGACATGTCCTTTTACTTTCTTTAAACAGAACTCCACAGCACATAAAGCAAAGCTTTTGTGTGAGAACAAGTTGACAATGATGTGTTCTGCAGGATAACAATGAATTTTTTTCAAAGATGATGCTGAAGCATTTTGCTTTATATGCTCGCATGCAATAGACTTAGCATTGATTAACCCAGATTTGTGTGTGTGTGTGTGCCTGTGTGTGCCTAAGCACAGTACATGTGTAACACTGGTGGGAAAGAAAAACAGTTTTCTCAAGTAAGGTGACCACAGCTTACTAACCGTAAATCTTCCTTGGCACAAAATAAATGGTTTTCCTTAGAGGAAGAAAAGATCCCCAAAATAGAAAAGTTCATAGCAATCCATAGCTCTGTGTCTTGACTGTCTTCTGAGAGGGTTTGGGCACTGAATAATCAGCAATGTTTTTGATTTCAGGCCAACTGAAGTAGCTATTGCAATCAATTAAAAATAATAGCTATAGAAAAATATTAGTGTATAATATGTGCTAACATACATTATGTGTATTATATAATAATTTATATGTAATTAAAACACAAATAAAACAGTATATATTATATGATATATTGTATATTATATATTATATATTTATTAAATATGTTTTATGTAATAAAATATGTTACATATAAACATTTAATTCTTTTTTACAATATACGTATATATTTCAAATTAAATCCACAACCTAGTTTCTTCTTTTTTATCACAACCATTACCACCATTATCAACATTTAACATTTTCTGGTATCTGTAAGTACTTATTTTATAACACTCTCAATTGTTTAACACAATAAACTTCTAAGTTTCATTTACAGATATAGACATAATTTAACAGAGAGGTTAAATTACCTGTCCATGATTAACTAGTGATGGATCCAAGGCTGGAACCAGCAGCCCTCCTTTAACTGAATATGTCATATACCAAGGAAGTTCCTCATTCCTTCTGACTTCTCCTTTTTATTTTAAATTATATTTTAAGTACTAATTATACATGTGCAGAACGTGCAGGTTTGTTACGTAGGTATACACATGCCATGGTGGTTTGCTACACCCATCAACCCATCATCTACATTAAGTATTTCTCCTGATACTATCCCTCCACTAGCCCCCCACCTCCTGACAGGCCCTGGTGTGTGACATTCCCTTCCCTGTGTCTATGTGTTCACATTGTTCAACTCCCAATTATGAGTGAGAACACGCGGTGTTTGGTTTTCTGTTCTTGTGTTAGTTTGCTAAGAATGATGGCTTCCAGCTTCATCCATGACCCTGCAAAGGTCATGAACTCATCCTTTTTTACGGCTGCATAGTATTTCTGCTTTTAAGAGATTATTATCTCTCTTCCTAGGCCTTCTTAAGGAAAGGATGTATATTACGAAAAGGGGCACAAGATCATTTTCTCAAAGGAGCCCAAGAAGAATATGGAACTGAGAACAAGTCAAGTCAGACAGCAGGTATTGTGGGTGAGCAGAGTAGCACCTTCTCCCAGTTCTTCCCAGACCACCTGAGTCTGCAGGGAACCTGGGTCTTCATGGAAATATCAAGGAAATGAAATATTTGTTAAAGGTCAAGGCTGAACAATTTTAGTTTAGTATAGAGAAGAATAGTTGCAATTATTTAATGACAAAAAGAAGATGGAGAATGAAGTTACGGAGTTCAGAGGCACCAGGGCATCTCTGCAGGCTGGGGAGTAAGGCATTGACTATGATCTTAGGGCAGACAGATCACAGCTCCACCACTAGGACTGAATGGAAAAGCAGCCACTGAAACTCTCCAACCTTTTAGGAAGGAACTCCAGTTGGCTGATTTTGTTCATGTGTGGAAGTGGAGTACAGTTTCTTGGTTGTCCCAAGTTAAAATAGATGGCAGGCAGCCAAAAAGTAACAAATAGCTACTGCAGCATGTTTTAAAATGTACTTTCAGATGCCTGCTCATATATATTTATCACAGCACTATTCACAATAGTAAAGATTTTGAATCAACCTAAGTGTCCATTGGCAGATAAATGCTTAAAGAAAATGTGACATTTACACACAATGGAATACTATTCAGCCACAAAAAGAATGAAATCATATCTTTTGAAGCAACATAGATAGAACTGGAGGCCATTATCTTAAGAGAAACAACTCAGAAACTGAAAGCCAAATACTACATATTTACACAAATAATTTTAAGTGTAAGTGTGTACACGTGGACATAGAGTGTGGAATAATAGACATTGGAGACTTTGAAGGGTGGGAGGGGGCTGAGGAATGACCAATTACTTAATGGGTAAAATGTATGTTATACAGCCCAGCTCTCACTCCTATACAACACATCCATGTAACAAAACTGCATTTGTACCTTAAATGTATACAATTTTTAATGTACTTTCACAGTATTTTAAAAGCTATTGTTTTATTTGACTCCAACAAGCAAACTTACACTCAAAGAACAGGTAGATACTGCTATTTCTACTTTTAAGATGACAAACTAAAGATTAGGGATGCCAAGAGATATGCCTAAGGCTATGTGTGTAGAAGGTAGTAATGTCTGCATCTTAAACCCAAGTGCTCTGACCTGTGTCTTAGTTGACCCCTCACACACACACTCATATTAATGTTGGTTGATCATGTCAAAGAAATAAAAATGGAATCAGGTCACACCCAGATCAAGTAGTACGAGTTTCTGGGGAAGAATCTATGCATTGCTATTTTTTAAAGTGTCCCAGGTAATTCTAAAGTGCAAACAGAGATGAGAACCACTTTTCTAAAAAAAAAATAATCATTTGAATATCAGGTGAAAAAGTAGTTATTGAAACTTGTAATAAAATGCTAAAGGTATGATTATACTTTTGCTGTGTTTTCTATTTGAATGCTGTCCTGTTCCTATATGAGCTTAGATTTATAGCTGCCAACTCTGCAAAAGATAACAATTTGAGAAGAAGCTGAGGTTGCTAGGGGCAATCCAATTTACCAGGGAAACCAGCTGAGCGGAGGAGCAACACTGAGTGAGCAACATACAGCTAGAATGCTCTCTGTAGAAGGGCATGCTTTCTTTGTTTCTTTAGGCAGAAATTGGAACATCATTCCCTTACCCCCGGTAAAAGAGCATTTCACTCTTTGCTGGAAGATGCACTTATATAACTAAGACTTTTCTGTTTTCTGCCTTTGCCATGAAGAACAGTGTAGTCCCTACAGAGAGGTAGGAGCCAGAAATGAGAGATCATTTTTTTACTTCTCCCTGGAGACACTTAATCCAGGAAGCATTCTTGTCCTTTTTAGCTAAGAACCAGTGGTTTCCCTTTTAACATGCAAAATAGTTAAGGTGAAGAATTCAATAATAGCAAATAGTTTATTTACAATCTTGCTGTAAATGTGTATCACCTTTATATTTGCTATTTCCATGTTGCTACTTGCTGTTTAATAATAAATGGCTATGAATAAATGATTTAAAACAAATACTGAAGAAATCTGTAGATAATATAATGTGAATTTCAACTTTGAATACATGCTGTCATCACACACCTATGTTCTATATAACAGAAATTATAAGTGGATAGAAGAGAAATGAAACTTTCTTGAGTGATAAACTTGTGAATCAAAGTCAAGTAAAAGCAAACGGCAATTTTATGAACTAATATCTCAAAAATGAGTTTATGAGTTTATATCAGTGTCTCATCTATATAAATATCACAGTTCAAGGGGTTTAAATGTGATGATGTCTCATGATAACTCAAAAGGTGCCTTTTAGTTATTAACTTTTACTTTTTGGATGTGTGCTTGTCAAAGCTATTGCTCTAGCTCTGTGTACAGATAGACAGTAATGCCTTACTTTCTGGCCATGACCAAATCTAAGTCAAATGTTTACAATTCAATCAATGTATTTTTTTTAAACCTAATTCCTAGTTAATGTTGGGTATCAGTTTAGTAACATCTCCTTTCAGCTGTCTTCCCCATCGCTATTGTGACTTTCAAATTCCATGTGCTCATAACATCCTGTGCTAACATTTCCATAACAATGATCATATGACATAGAAATTTCCAGTCTAGACTGCAAGTTCGTGGGTGCAGGGATTAATTTCATTCGTTCATTTTCTCAAAACATATTATTAATATTACCTACTGGGTATCAGCACTGTCCTAGGTCCTGAAGGTACAACCAAAACAAAAATCTTTGCCCCTAGGAAGTTTACATTTTTGGGAAGACAGAAAGATGTGAAATGTGTGTGTGTTATGGTAGTGGTGGAGGCAAAGCTGAGTTTGGAATTTTACATGGAATATCTCGAGAAGGCCTCTGTGGGAAAGTGACAATTGAGGAAAACCTGAAGGAGGTGAGAAAATAAATGAAATAAGATTCTGGGATAAGAAAGTTCAGGCTTCCTGAACACAGGCTAAATCTAAGTTATGAGAAAAATGTATGCCTGGCATGTTCCAGGAACAGCCAGATGGCCAGCAATTTTGGAGTGGAAGGAGAGAGCAAGAGTAGATTACGTTCATTGAGGTGCTGTGCTTAGGTACTAAGTAACTATTTGTTGAATTATTTTAAAATAATAAAATTCCTCGTCTCTACTAAAAAATACAAAAAAAGTTAGCCAGGCATGGTGGCCGGCGCCTGTAGTCCCAGCTACTTGGAAGGCTGAGGCAGGAGAATGGCGTGAACCAGGGAGGTGGAGCTTGCAGGGAGCCACAATCGCACCACTGCACTCCAGCCTGGGCAACAGAAAGAGACTCCGTCTCAAACAATAATAATAATGAAGTTAATAATACATTTGACAGAATACCATATGATTTATAAACTATTATTCTACTCAAACTAGCATACTGTCTGGAAGAAAAAAAAAGATACAGGTTTATCCTCTGTAAAATAAAGATATGTTCACAAACTCATTCAAATTTGGAGGAAATGTGGGGTTTTATGTACCAGATTATCTGAGAGTAGATGAACTGTACTCAATGATAGGCTACAGTCATCAAATTTTAACTTCTTCAAGGTAATTTGACTGTTAAAGTGAGTTTCACCTTTGCGGTTTTAATTTCCTTCTCATAACCCTCATCTTTTGTGCACATCATGGCTTTTGGGTAAGCACTGATTACTCTTGATTCTCCTTGTTGAGTGTTCTCACTGCTCCAAAGCACCATAATGGTGCATTCTTCTATGGATCTCTTGTTTCTGTAACTTCTTCCCCAATCGTTATTAGACAATGAGTTCCTGACCACGTCATGATGGCACTAAGTAATGAGGAAAATGCCCTGTCTCAGTGTGTTGGTAACTCTAACAATTAGAAGTAGAAGAGAAAAATATACCTCTTTACTCTGCCACCAAAGAACTATTCCATGATGATATGAAGGGGGATGAGGTACTCCTAAAGAACTGCAAATGAAAGGGGTAAAATGGAGACCCTTTTATCAGATCCATCTCTTATGTGCTCAGCGGTGCTGTACTGTAGGAAAACCAGCCTGATGAATTGGGCTTTGAAACCTAATTTATAGCTTGACTTGCTAAGCAATCTTAAGTGAGTCACATTATCCTGTCTGAAGCTCAGTTTTTTAAATAAAAACTGGAATAAGAAAATCTGCATTGTTTGTCTCCTAAGGATGGGATAAGGATTAAAGGAACACTGTGTATGAAAGTATTAAGAAAATAATGAAGGATTATAAAAGAACACTGTTTGGATTTAAATGGAAAAATAATACAGAATATAAAAACAAATTGGTGGGGAAAACAAATGTTTTTCTTAAAAGTTCTCTTTAATATTGTTTGGAAAATAAATGGTAACTATTATTCTCAGGTGACAGCAATTCTCTAGATACCAGATGCTATCAGCACTACCTCCAAAATATACCTTTCATCTGTCCACTGTTCCCCTTTTCCAGTGCTACATAAGCCTGCATCACAGAGTTCTGCAATAGCCTCTGAACTACTGCTTCTAAATTCGACTTTCTCTACCTGTTAATCCTTTTCCCACAGAGCATCTAAAGTGCTCTTTCAAAATTGTAAATCAGATTATCACTACCTTATATTTAAAGTCCTCAAAAGGTTTTTGATCACACTTAAATCCCAAATCGCTATCATGAACAAAGGACCCTACTCTGCCCTCAGGACTTTATCCACGACTTAGGTCTTCTTCTCTCATGATGCTTGAGCCTAATGCTTTTTGCTGTTCCTTGAACTCGCCAAATTTGTATCTGCTTTAGAACTTTTGCATTGCTGTTTCATCTACCTGGAAGTCTCTTCTCCCATCTATATTTGAATGGCTCCTTGCAAAATTAATCACCTTGGGGAGGCATCTGTTGCTGCATCATCTAATGATGCCTTCTTTCCAGTCATCCCATCACAAGGGATCCTAGGAAATGGTGCCTTCCCTTGCTCCATTATTCCATCTTTATTCTTAGCACTTAAAACTTGTGAAATTGTTGTATTTGTTTACATGTTATTGCCTGTGTCCCTCAGTCAAATGCGAGCTCCATGACAG